AAAAGCTTCTTTTCGGGGATCCCGACAAACATGCAGAAATCACCTAAGAAAGGTTGTACAGGGTGTCCCAAAAAATGTGAACACTGTTTGATCATCAATAACTCCCTTGTTTTCATGTCTTTCGCCGAGCTTGAGGCACCATTCTGTAGAGCGAGGTACAACCAAGGAAAGGAAGGTTGGTCGAAGTGGTCTTTTGGAATGAGATGTGTACTGTCTTATAGAGCTTGTGAGGCTGAGTCCAAATCTACCTTTGCTATCTGCTGCGGGCTTCTGGGCGAGGAGTTATGAAGGTTTTTCTGAGTAAAAATCTGAATGCAAGAGTAGGCTAAAATCGAGTCGTAACATTTTTCATAGGGCTTAATTGGTAGTCTAGTCACTCGGTGCAACAAATATTCTTGATTTAAATATACCAATTCGCTGCTGCCCCATTTGAACACTGGGAAAAGGGTGCTACTGATTTCACCGTATTTTTGCATTCAGATTTTCACTCACAAAAACCTCCATAACTCCTCGCCCAGAAGCCCGCAGCAGATAGCAAATATAGATTTGGAATCAGCGTTTCAAGCCCTACAAGGTAGTGTACACCTCATTTCAAAAGGCCACTTCGACCAACCTTCCTTCCCTTGTTAGATCCACAGTATGGAGCGAATCATTGATTGCTTTTCATTACTGTAACATTAAGGTGGGAACTTCGATAAGGATTTAAGGCCATTGGAAGCCACATTCTGTCTCGGAACAAAACCAAACAAGCCAAAAACTCTTATACTATGATAATAGAGGCCGCTGATTTTAGAAATTTGAAATTTCCACTTTACTGTAATGCTTTTTTTCAAGGTTATCCCAGGCGAACCGTACTAAGTCAATTTCCAGCATTTGTCAGAAATGTGATTTCACCGTCAAGAAAACTGAAACACTCGTAACAAGTTGTGCAGTAGAATCAGCGTGCGCGAAAATCTTAGTACACGATTTTTCAGATTTTTTGAAAAAAATTTTGCCAGAAGGTATATTTCACATCTCAGAAGGTATATTTCACATTGAATCCTCATGTTGAAAGTTCATACCGTAATCCTACAGTAACGAAGAGCGATTGATGATTCGCTCTATACTGTAGACCTAAGTTGAACTACGCTCTACAAAATGGTGTCTCAAGCTCGGCGGAAGACATGAAAGCAACGGAGTTATTAACACGCTGACGACAGTGCCGCGCAATGGTGCGCGGCGGCCAATACTATCTGTCCAATCCTCTCAGTATTTGTTCATATAATCAACATAGGCTCAGATGTACTTCATTTATTAGCTCTGCCCCTTTCATACTCCGCCCACTCCCATGCCTCTCACAAGGACCCTTTTTGTTCATATAAAGCATGGTTGAGGCCGTAGGTGAACGCAAAGACCTCAAGCAACCTATGGCCAAGCCCCGCTCACCGTCGCGCAAGCCCCGCCCTCTAAGTGGCAAGCTCCGCCCATTTGTCAAAAGTGGCGGAAATCGCATGAATTCTTGAAATTTAGGCAATTTTTGGCATTTTTGGCCAAGTGGGCGGGGCTTCACATGGGGGCGGGGCTTGCACATTATATTTCGTGCATGAATGCATGCATATACATGCGGCCAGGCGTTGGGATGCACGGAAACGTCTCGTCCACAGGGACAGACCTCAAAAAAATGGCTCGTCGTCAACGTGTTAACGATCAAATAGTGTTCACATTTTTTTGGGACACTCTGTATGACTATGAAGTTGACATATGAAAACACAATTTTTGAATGATTGCATTCTCTAAGCTGGAACTTGAAAGCAAAGTAGTCGAAGGAGCAACATAAAGTGCACAGTATTTAGCAGGGGTACCTCTTTCTTGTGGGTGGTGCAAGGTCAGTGAAAAAAATTTAGATTTGGGAAACAAAGCCAAAACTTTGCAATGTCTTGGAAGGTATCTGCCATCTAGAAGCAGTTCAGAGGGTCTGGAGCAATCAGCAGGCCTTAAGGTGTCATGCAACCCCATTAGAAGCAACATGTCAAAAACTTCAATCCTTCTTTATATATAGAACCGAATGGTGTACTTGTCTGTATGTTGGTGGTGCTTGCGTGTTGTTGATGCTGTCTGTAGGTCCCCGATGGTGTTTTTGTGGTCGATGGTGGCCTTCGTGTCCGTTTTCAAGTATCGAAAATTTATTGTGGGATGGTTGGTAACGGCCTCACTCTGAAGGAGTTTTACCGATTTTGCAAAATCTGAGCTGGGCCGGGAATTGGCAGAGGGGTTTACTATCCTGGATGTTGATCACGTATCAGCATCCTTCATGAAAATAAACATTACTTCTACCAAATCTATCGATTATTTGCAAATTGCGAACTACGGCACAGGGGGGTAAGCAAACATGCTGATTACGATTATGATAACCATTTTTGAAAATGCCCGTTACTACTATCGATTTTATCGATTTTTGCCAAAAGTAATGTTTTAAAACATGTGATAGTTACTTCTGACTACGGCCGACCCGCGGCCTTCATTTGACATGGGCCTCGTCTCGGCCGAAACATGTAGCAGAGATTTTAGTCCGCAGCTCAGCCGCTGCAATGTTTCGCCCCATCATTTTAAGGGCCGCAGTTGAGCCGATGAGCACATTTCCTCCCGCGGCTTTGCCAATACAATGATAATGACGTGAATGAAGGGCCGCGGGTAGGCCCCGTATCCCGGCCACGCCCCTCCCTCCCCCCAAATTAAGTCCGCGGACGGGCCTGAGAGGCCCTTTAAGCCCGCGGCTCGTCCTTCCCTCGAGTTTGCGCCACTTTGCGGGCGCATCGTTTAACGTAATGTGGTGCTTCAAACAAAGTGGCACAGGCTTTCACACGTTGTTCTCGTTGCCAACACCATGCCAAAGTTGCATCCTTAACGTGGCGCAAGCTCAAAGCGAGGCGGCGCTTCATCAATCCACGTAATCCACGTCAAGTTGAGGGAAGACGTATGGGTTGATATCGAGGGTATATCGCACACAGACAAAACTTAGAGTCCCACCACGAATCTGCGTCTTAACCTCGGCGCCAAGCGTCCATATTCAAAATCAGAAGCTTCTGGAATAGCCCAATTTCGACATTTTCGTACTCTGCAAGCTGCATGTTTGGAATCAGCTGGAAGAATAAGCCCAGGTAAGCGGAAAAATTAGATATGTTCGAAATTTTGCCCGTACGCTGCTTTTGTGTTACAGATGATTCAACGATATCTACATCGAACTCTTGCCTCCGATAGTGGCAAGGAGAGGAGCGGATAAGTCCTGAAATGAAATTAATTGTAAGAGGAAACCGTAAATCTGGGTGGATGTGCCTTTAAAGGCACATCCACCCAGGTTTTCGGTTTTTACGTTTTTGTCGTTTCAGGGCCTTCTCATGTCCCTGATTCCGAATATGAAGTCGAAAATGCGCGAAAACCCCGACAATCCCCGTTTCAGAGAATCCCACAGCCGGCTTTCCGTAACGGTGATTGGATGGTGCGCACAAATGGGCGGGCATGGATGGGGGTCCTCGTGCATCTTCGCCATTCCGAAGCGATTTTCTGGCTTCCGAAGCGGCATTTTTGCGCCGCAACTTGGATTGGATTGATAGGGGGCCCTACCACTACAAGCTAACAAAAGTTCAACACCCTCAACTTAGGGTGAACCGTGCCTTTAAAGGCAGTGGATCGGCAAAATCCAACAACTCGGGATTTTAACGCGTCAGGTTCCTTATCGCCCAGGTATGAAAACGGCGCAATCCCGGTTGCACAGTATGCTCTCCCTGCCGAGAAAATCGCTCTCAAACTTAAACGCGCAGGCCAGTCTTACACGCATCTGGACGAGTTGGCAATTTCCTTTTCACCATTGGAGGCTGCCCGTCGCAACGCTATAACCATTGGGTCCTGCAACGTAGCGTGATCGGCCTTGCTCCACTCGTTCAATTTCAAAGGGAAGGGCATTAAAAAACGCTTGTTATCGCCGTTTTCAAGCTTACAAAAGTGGATCTTTGGGATCAGCGCATTGATAACTCCAGGTAAGCGCAAATTTGACTAGATTCAGATTTGCCTAGCCACTGCCTTTAACACGTTGACGACCGTGTGCATCCGCGCGTATGCACGCCCAGACCACCTTTTAGCACTTTCGTGCATCAATTTATCACGTGTAAACGAAAAGTTCTTAGGTAACTTCTATGCAGTGATAACACTTGTGGCTTGGTTGTCATATGGAACACACGGCATTGCGGTAGCTGTTGAACAGTCCAAACCGCAGCCGTAGATCATCAGTCGATCTTGATGTGGTCAAAAATGGCTTGTTCGTCAACGTGTTAAGCACAACCGTCACACCAGGCTTCGCGCGCGTATAGCTTAGGCTTGCGAATTGGCCTTGTCGATCGGAGGTTCGCACGCAAGTCTCCCTTGCGTTGCGAATGCGTACTTCATAAGCGAAAGGGACTACGTAATTGATACAAACTGTACATAAATACTTGTGCGGCTATGCTTGCCTGTAAATTCGAGTTCACTCCGGAGTGCCATGCTTGTTGTGCGGTTTCTGGAAGTCTAGGTGGTTAACATGCAAGAGCCTTCTTCTGTTCTGTCGATAAGTGATTTTTTTGAAATTTTTGATAAACAAATAGCTTTGAGAAGAAACATATTCGGATTTTAGTTTTTTATGCGGAATAAAAATTAAGCAGCTCTTGGAAATTTTGCGTGAAACTATTTTCTTGAAAGCTGCAGTGACAGATAGAAGAAGACATCTGTGAACAATATGCAAATAACCTTGAGAAAGCAACTCTTGCAGAATATTTGACACTGTGGTAGTTTTACTGCAAGTGAAATATCCTCTTTAATCCCATTTTTCCTCTCCACCAATCTAGCGGTAAACCGAAAATTGCAGAACGCAAGGGGTAATGCCATAGTTGTTTGTGATCCGTGCATACGAATCCGATGCCAATCAATCAAATATCAAGCTGCAAATGACTCTTCGACATAATGAGAGATTTGCACTCGATCGCTTTCTTTAGCGACATTGAGCCGTTGAGACAATTAATAAATGGAGCCAGACCGCGGAAAAGCAAGTTCACATATACTAAGACTGTAATTTGCCAGGTTGGTTTCGAAACTGAAATTGATATTTTTATTTACGAGTCGTTTTATAGGGCTGCGTGATGGCGAGAGTTGGTGACATTTGCGGCCATTGCACATGCAGGATGCCACGAGGCGTCAAAACACTCAAACAAACCCGTACTTTTAAAAACCGTTCTAGGTAATCGGAAGTCTGATAGCAAAGGAAAAAGGTAACTGAGAAAGTTCAGCGCGTGCAATGGTCGCAAACTCACCGACTCTCGCGATCACGCAGGGCCTTATACCATTCATCTTCCAGGTCTCTACAATTAGATGTCAGAATGGTGAGGTGCGCTCCACTGATATCGTTGGTGGTTTAACAAATTTTTTCGACATTGGTGCAGTAGTAGTCACATCTAACGAAGCTGTGTTTACGCTTAGAAATATACCTAGGGTGGAATCGGGGTATGCCTGCGCATCTCTTTCATTACCTCTCGAGCTTCCTTGTATACTCAGATATCTTATGACCTTGAATGAACGTGTGTGTGTTTTCCCCAATCGAAGGTTCGTAATTTGTCAAGATGGATTAATTGGAGAAGGGCGCTTTATTAAGCCGGATTCTGACAGCAACCCGACATTAGTGGTAGGTATCTCAGTTTGCGATGTCTTCGTCGTTTTTGAAGCTCCACAATCAACTCCGTTGACAGGAGAAGCTAATGGAAGATTTCGAGCTCATTCCTCGTAATCTCGCCGTGCAGATTCGCAACGAAATCCAAGCGAAAGAAGTTGAGCTTGGTGGAGCACAGCCAAGTAGCTCACATTTAGACGACGTGGACTAATAGCTCGAATTAAACAGAGTAAGATTCGAAGATGCATTCCATGCTATGGCGTTACCCGAATAGTTCTGTGGTTGATATGTTTAAGGTAGTGGTGGTTGGCTAGTTAGCAGTCCTTTGTTCCCGTATATTTCTTTAAAGATTCAAAAGTGCATCGTTCCATCTTATAAATATATGAAGCTGAATGCCTGTTTGTCTGTGTGTACATGCAATGCATCTAACAATAAGGGCGACAGCTCAGCGCAGTGCAATCGCAATCACTACGTGCGGACTGGCTTCTCAACTAAAGTATTCTTACTGGTAGTGTCCGCGCAAAAAATCGACTTTGAGACTTTGTGCTAACCAGGGCCTATTCGCTATGCTGAATCCGAAAATGCACACTGGAGAGCGCGAAAACGGCGAAAAATAGCTCTAACGCAGGAGGGAAACCAGAAATGGGCGGGGAATTCACAGTCTTCCCGTCTGTGAATTCACGTCTCAGCTTCCGGAGCGATCTTCTCGGTTCCGACTTCAAGTCAAGCATTCGCACTTGGCCTGTGGAGATGTCGGGGCTGCCCGAATTGAGAAGATCGCTCCGCAAGCTGGGACCGTGAATCCACGGTGGGGGAGACTCCCCACCTGGTGATTAAACTCCAGCATTAGAGCCCTTTTCGCCGTTTTCGCCCTCTCCAGTGTAGACTTTTGGATTCAGCATAGCGAATGGGCCCCCTGGTAAGCAAAATACCTCAAATCCCTTTTTGCCCTCCTTTATAAATAACAGTTGTAGCTCCTAACCTCTTTATATAAAGATGCAGAAAATGTGTGTGTGCACTATAATTTGGACCAAATCGAATGATCGTGACTTAGAATGAGCCGGTTAATCTGGAGCTGTGAGGGGTCATACAAGCACTGGAGCACTGGTTATTCAAATGCGATTAATTCGAAATTTGATTATTTCAAAGTCTGAGATTTCGAATGAATTTCCATTGGCGATTATTCAAAAATCTCAACTTTCGAATATAATTTGACAACCAAGTATTCGATGGTCATATCGATCTCGATATTCATCCAAAGGTGACTGTCACAGAAACAATCAGTTTTTCAATCGATGTTTTGACAAGCATCACATATTCGAAACGATGAGCACTGAATATTTGAACAATACTCTAGCATACACAGGGTCTCTCAAAAGAATCTAATCTTTGATTCAATTGACTTGGCTCCGGGAAGGCGGAGTTTTGTGACCTAATTAAGGCCACTCGCCCCCGCAACGAACCTGCGTCTCCCTCGCGCGAGTGCTCTCTGGTCACCTAGCCTTGATTAGGTCACAAAGCCCCGCCTTCCCGAAGCCAAGCCAGTTAAATCAAATGGTACACACAGTTTGATCGCTGATATTTCTTTTCACACAATGTCTTTTTAATCTTTGGGCGCCATTCCGTAGGGTTGACTCCAGCTTACATTTCCAGGAAAAGAAGACCACCCATACCTATTTATTTTGTGGGATTACTGTAAGAGCTTCTAGGAGCTAATGCTATGTCATTTGAAGGGACTTCTTCAAATCTAAAAACTTGTTCAACAGAGTTTTCACGCATGCTGACTCTACTACACATGTTTCGATAGCTTTGAGCCTTTTTCAATCGTGTTCTGAGAAACTTGGAAACCGTCTGTTACCTATCATAACTTTTGAAAAAAGCATTATGGTTAGATGCAAGAAGTGCTGAAGTCGAAGTAATCCTTCCACATTAAATAATACAGCATTGAACGCTGATACCAAAACTGTTTTGTTGCCTATCAAGCGCCTCCCGATGCTCAGTGTGAGTTTTTTGGCTCACAATGTTGAAGGAGAAACTGGAAAACAGTTCCAAGGTTTTTTAACTGACCCAGTGTCACATATTAAAGCGCTTTAGGCCTAAGGCATACCTCACGCGATTTTAGTCGCCTCGCGATTTGGCACTTCAACGACTCTCCATAGCTGGTCGTGGACGCAGTCTGCTTGGTCCAGACTTGCTGCGTTTGTTACAATTTACGGAATCTACGCACCCATGCAACTGAGAGCCTTGCATGCTTAACCTCTAGACATCTGGCAAATCGCCAAGTCGCGAGGATGTGGCAATTTCGCGAAATCGCAAGCGATATACCTTAAAGGCACCGTCCACCAAAATTTCGACCTCCATGTTTTTGCCGTTCCAGGGCCTTCTCATACCCCTGATTCCGAATATCAAGTTGAAAATCCGCGAAAACTTTGTAAAACCCCCGTTTTCAGAACCCGCAGAGCGATTTCTTCGGTACGGTGATTGGTTGGGCGCGCACGGATGGGCGGGACGAACGTCACGCCCACTCCGAAAGGGGAGGAGCCAGCGTCGCGAACGCGGCCTGAAGCTATTTCCGAAGCAATTTTCTCGATTCGGAAGCAACTTCAGGCAGCGCGAGTTGGGCAATCATACAGTTAGGGGCTCCGCATCTGCTAGGTATCATAATCTCACCAACCCCAATTTGGGTGGACGGTGCCTTTAAGCCTTATGCATGAAGTTTTTTTGTCTAATATAATTATACTAGACACTGGCTTTCTAACAAATGAGTAAGAACCTAGCAGAAATTCCAATGACAACAATAATTAACTGTAGGCTATTCGCTTTTTTTCTAAGTTTATGAAGCCAAATCACTTTACTCTCAGCAGATTGCGAACAGCATCCTCTCTTTCCCATAACAACTTGCCGTAGTCTCATTCCGAAATGTGGAATAAACCTGTTGTGGAATAAATATGGAAACTCAAGACTTCTAGTTGTCGCAAAATTCTAGGCTCGATCCATAACACATGTGAATTGAAGGGTTAAACAGTCACAGCTAGCAAGAACATCGAGATCTGCGCAAAGTCACTGTTGGCCTTTTCTCTTCTTCCTGATCGTTTTTTTTTTGCAGAAACATCGCCAGCTTCTAACCAATCGCGTTACAGGCACTACCAAAGTGATTTATCAGTAAACGCTGCTTCAAACCGCCATCAACCGCAGTCAAGTTTTCAAATGATTTGTGCGTGCGAGTCGATTCGTTCTAATTTAATAGATTTCGAAAGACAACATTAATTTCTTCTGCAACAATAAGTCTTCTAGTTTTTCGTAACATTGTTTCAGCTTAGAAAAGAATCCTACTTTTGCCATGGTAAGTTTGAGTGCTATTATACTGGCTTTGCGGTGCCGGCAATATTGCAATATATATTTATATTTTAAAGAATGATTTTATTGTTGGATATGAACATTCATTACGAATGATACTGCAGTAATACCTTGATAGTTGAAAAGGACTTTTTGAAAACTGCTTTTCCTGAACGATAAGATTTTCTCGAAGCTATCAAGCTCTTTACAGAATAAATGAAGCCAGTGGACTCAATAAGAGCTAATCAGTGAACTACTATTCAGCGCGGCGCTATTCCAGTACCTGGGCCCCAAAATTTTTTAGCATGGGCTTTGCTGAAACTTGGCCCACAGGGGTTATTCGGACCGCTGATGCCAAATATTACATTGGCTTTGTACCGTAGCGTCATTTTCTCGGGTTACGTTAGGTATACGATAAGAGTTCAAAATCCCACAATTCGCTGCAACTTGACTCAGGGCCAAGTTGCAGCGAGGCGGCGTATCAGGATCCTCCAAAGGTCCGCCGCTTTCTTTTAGGCGCGCCCTTGGGAGGCAATAATCGCTTCGCGCCTACCTCGCGCTTGTGTTGCACTTGTCTCGCACATTTCTGCGATAGTTCCCCTCTGGAAAATCGCCTTGTTTTCCCTAGTATTAATTAGAAAGGTCACTGCTTGAACAATGATTTTTTAATGAAAACAAGGAGAAGAAAAAGCTGTGAGAACTAACAATAATAAAAGTAGACTAAGTGTCTCTTACCAGGAAAGTCAGTTAGTCGAAGTGGCATTTTGGAAGTCGAAGCATGCCAATGTATAGAACTCGAAATGCTGATTTTTATATTTGCGAAGCGTTTCTCCAATGGAAGTTATGGATTTTTTGTATATATTAATGGAAGTGTAGCCCAGAAAGGGCCGGAGAACGTACAGATGACATCAGGCTAGATGTACGTGCAAGTATTTGTCTGCATCCTTTTTGTGGGAAATTTTGCAGCTCAAAATGCATGCATTTTGGCAATAAAAACTTGAACCTTTTCCCAGAAGGAAGTTTCGCACAAACATGGCATCTGGATGAAACCAATTAAAAAAGAATTTTCGTCAACAAATTTGCTCTGATTCTGGTCCTGCTGAATTGCATACCCATTCAAAGCATCGGTTCCCGTACAAAAAGTTTAGGTACAGCGGGCCCATTGAACTGCCAAAAAATGATGTAAACGTGTCTTTAAAGTTGTATATTTCCAAAGATATGCCCATGACTTGGCTCCGCTGATGAGAAAACATGATACCTTTTGCTTCTTTTTATCCACCATATCTTAATAGCCACAGTAGAATGTATTTGCCTGTCAGCAGCTTATTCTCATATTTTCTTTTGTTTGACAAACGTTGATTAATGAAAGTTTCACATCTACATCTTTTGTTATGATTGAGAAATCCTCGTTCAAGCAGTCCTTTCTAATTAATGCCAGAGAAACAAGGCCCTTGTCCAGAGGAGAACTATCGCAGAAATGTGCGAGACAGAGCGACACAAGCGCGAGGTAGGCGCAAGGCGATTATTGCCTCCCAAGGGCGCGCCTGGAGAAGAAGCGGCGAGCCTTTGGAGGATTATGCACGCCCTCCTTGCAGCGAACTGTGGTATTTTGACCTCTTACCGTACACCTAACGGGTGTTATTCGACCCACTGATGCCAAATATCACCTTGGTTTTGCACCAAAGCGTCATTCTCTTGGGTTACGGCAGGTTCACGAACGAGTGGAAAACCTAGTTCTGCCTGAAACGGGTGTACGGCGATTCGGACGATTGTGAAGCTTTGCACACACGATCACCACCGCGCGCTACGCACCCTGCTGCGGCTTTTACCTAAGCAAAGCACAAGGAGAAGACACATTTACCGATTCGTGATTTTGACCCCTACCGTATACCCACCGTAACCCGAGAAAATGACGCTACGGTACAAAACCAATGTGATAATCGTCAGCGGGCCGAATAATCCCCTGGGCAGGGTAGGGTCAAGCGTGTGATGCGACTGCCGCAACGGGGTATCGTAAAAGAGGCACCGAAGGTGGGGGAAGGGGGGGGGGGCGTGTTAAGAGAGGTAGTCCGAATAGAGTATGGAATCCCTGCAAAAAGGAGTGCAGGTGGGGATCGAATTTCCTGGCCACAAGTATGGCCGAAGATTTCAAAGACACTTTCAGAAGCTCAGAAACCAGGTATGTATGTGTGACAAGAATGTTAAATGTAACAGTTGGCCTAGAAATCCTGGTTCCGAAGCATCGCTGAAGTCTCACACACTCAACGAAAGTGCTCAACTCTCACAGCGATGACCATCGATAATTTTTAATACTTTTTTGTTATGTCTTTCAAGGGCCCATACTTTACCTGTGCTTTGAAGATGCTCTGCTACAGTTGTGCAAAATCTGATTATATTTCATAGCCTGTGGATTTTTTTTGAAATTTCATATATGGCAACAAAAATAAAAAAAAGGGGGGGGGGTCGTACCTGGGTCGCATCTAAATTCTTTCGCTGCTATGGAGGCCTGCTCGCTGCAAATTTGCTACATTACGACGCCATCCTCCTACTTTCTTTCCTAAAAATTTCGAGCTGTTTCGTTGCGTCTCCACTGAGTTAAGGGATTTCGAGCTTGAAAATCTCAGTTTTTGGCTTCTAGGATCGCATCTACATTTGCTAGAATCGAATCTAAATTTTTTCGAGCTTACTGCACTATACTCGGGTCCGAATCGAATAGAAATTCGATCATTCGAATAAAACATTCGAATATATTCGTGTTTAAAATTCGATATTCGGGTTCTTCCATTTTCGAATAATATTCGAAACTCGAATATTGAGAAAACGGGAAACTCGAATAATCAAAAAACCAGGTTTCGAATAGATTTTATTCGAATGTTTCATTCGAATGTTTATTCGGATTCGTATTCAAAGGAACTCCGTATTCAGATTACTCGACTTTGTTAAAGAGCCAACTGCTGAGTATCAAGCTCACTTCGCCCGCGTTTTTTTTTTCACAAAACCCGGTAATGCATCTTTTGAACTGTATGGAGAGTCACATTCTTCCGACTGCTTCGGCAGTAAAAAAATCATATGTGGGTTTTAATCAATGCTTTTTCAATCAATGTGATTGTTCGCACTGCTATTGGCACCAAATCAGCAAAGAAGCTATCAAATTCAAGCTCATGTTCCGAGTTCATATATTTATTAGACGGTCAATGCCAACGTCTTGGGCTTTTGAGAATGATATTTGTACAAAGATGCAGCTGTGTGGTTGTTGTCCTTATGGCGACTTTTAAACAATGAAAAAACCTGTTCTGTCCGATTTTTTTTGCCTCATATTTGAAGCAGCTGTTCTAAGAGAATTTCATCTCTAATGCGGTATTGTCAGTATCACTAGAAAGTGCTTTTCTTGCGCTTTTTAAAGCATATCAAATTTCAATAAATTTCTTAGTGTAAGGAGATTTCAAGCCTAAAATCTCCAAGTGACCGAGGTACGTTCTCACATTAGAAACATGTTCTTGCGAGAAAATCTCCACAAGGCGCACTTCAAGTCATGTTCTTTCATTGGCTGCGGAATAAGGGTGTAGAAGGCTGGTATATGCAGAAGTTCGGCTCCATGAAGAAAAAGTTTTTCTAGTCAAATTTATCGTTGGACATTAATTTTTTGTATAGATGTTTTACAAGCAATAACTTTCTGCAAATTAAAGTAAGCTCAAAGTTGGAGATGCTAGGGCAAAGCAAGAGCTAGCAGGGCCCATACACTAGTTCCTGTTCGGCGCTTACGTCAGTTGTAAATTTTACAAACCTAAATAGGCATGCATACATGTGCTGAAACGAGGTCAAAAAGTGGCTTCTTTTTTGCTCGATCAAAAAAATCTCTCGGCAGCGCAGGCTTTATGGACTCTTTTATGTTGCACAATAATCTGCGAAATTTTCTCTATCTATCCATTGTTAGAAAAGATGTTTATCAATTTTCATAAGGGAGCGTTGCCATGTCAAAAAAGACAAGTCTGAAGAGAAACGTAGCGAAGTTTTTAAGTTTTTGCTTCCTCCTTAACGAGGATTTGCGCAAGTTCTAATATGTGTCTGATAGCCAAGGAATTGGTCAACACACGGAAACTAAGATCTTGGAAAAAAATTGACTTTTAAAGAAGTTGTGATATTTTGAACTCAAAAAATTCAAATCGGACAGAACTTATGCAACAACCTAATAGTTGTTTACATTTTATTCGTGATAGTCAGCATTGGGCGGTGAATTTCATTTCATCATTATGCGAGAATGAGTAAAACATTTGAATAGTGGAAGTGTGAGTTTTTGCGAAGCGAGGTGACGCACTGTCATATGATAATGACACTAATAACGCTGCTTATGGGCGTGTAAGAAACAGCACGCGCTCGCCAATCAGTGACACGAACCTGATATGTGCAGCAGTAGAGATGTGGTCGCAGCTGGTAAGTCTTGCCAAGGCCTCGGCCACAGTTCATGCTATTTCATCCTCGCGATTCTCCGACAAGACATTGTTACGAGCCCATTGCATATGATCACCTTGCATTTCGGTTGTGATATTAGTCATAGTCGTGTCGGATATCACAGCCGAAATGCAAGAGGATCAGCAGAAGGACTGTAGATCCGCCCTTAGCTGGGGATCCCTCGACTGGAGCACGGATCTTGTTTGGAGCACCATAGCTATTGGATATTCGTCGACGACAGCCCCGTTTGGTGCATTCACACCACAAAGCGTGTGCGTTTCTGGAACGGTTCCAGCTTTACAGTACGCTGCGGCGCGCCAGGAATATGCAGTTTGCGGCGTGTTCGTCCTATAACCTCCTTGACCGTTTCAAGCGTTTTTTGTGAATTTTCTCTTCATTGCAAGCGTTTCTCGTGATTTCTTCTTCGTAGTTTTCATTCAATACACATGTTCATCCCAATAATCTTGCAGGCTTACTCGACCGTGAAATTTTCTACAAGTTCTAGCTTGGTGGATCGTAAGATGGCGGAAAATAAAGAGGTTTGCAAGCGACTCAAGAATTCTTTTCTCTTGCTTCCACAAATCCATTTCAGAACCTCGAAGGGTGCAGCTCACGATTCGCGAATGTACAGGTATGATGTCTTATATTAGTGTTTTATCAGACTGGCCATTTTTATAGGATGTTTATGTGGTGCCGTCTCCTCAAGCCGGTTCAGGCAAAAGAGTGAGTTTTTTCTTGAATAATAACACGTAGTGTTTCTGCATATGGTAGAAAGTGCAGGTTTTGTTTCAATGTTTTAAAATGGTCTCCTATTTGCCATCAAATCAGTCCATGCAAGTGTTTGTTTTAGTTCTGCGTCAGAGACATCAAAGTCACCGCTGCGCTACTGCGTTCTAGACAGGTGAGTTACTTTCCTTCTTTTCCATTCTGTTTATTATGTTATATATCCCTCCTACCCTACTGACGAGCCTCGAGGAGGGATAAATTGGTGTTAAATAATGGTGTCTAGGGTTGAGAGGCGAAACACCTACTTTGTTTTTTTTATCTTTCTCCATACTTTGTTGATTTCATTTGTTTAGGAAACTCCACTGACATCGCACGAGGAACAGGTTAGAATTTTGAAGTTGTTTACGTGTTTTTGCTTTTTCATTGCTTGGAAACTAAACAGTAATTTCTAACTACGTATTGTTGCTAAATGTACCCCTTACCACTTAGTTACACCATCAGTTTTCATTGTGCAGTCGCTTTAACTTTCTTGAAGAAAGTTCAAGTAGCAGAATAATTGGCAAAAAATACATTACAGCGGCAGCCCCTCGTGGAGATGAAAGTTCCGAATATCATCGCGACTGCGAAAAAGCTCCGCTCCGTAAGCTTTATATTTGTGTTATTTACTTTTTATCCTTAGTCACACTTCAGCATTCTATAGGGCTCGCCAGGTCACATCAGCTGCGGTGCGAACACAACCACTCAATCTGCTCTTGGCTTCAGCGTTGTCCGACAAACATCGTTTCGTCCCGTATTTAGGGTACGACCATAAGCTTTTCTAGATTCAGCCTTTCGGATACTCGGCACACTACTCACAATTCATTATTCACACGCTGTAAAGACCTTATGACGGCATCATTCACATCATACTCAACTATACTATCAACTATTACATCTATTGAATCTGTATTTATTCACTGTCTGCTACCTCTGCTATATTCGATATTCTATATTCTACTATATTCTACTATACACTATATTCTTATCTGCATCAAGTAAGTCATGTTGAAGACTGCTCGGAGAAGGGTCTCGTTGGTGTGAGGTCGTGAAGTGTAAGAACCTCAAAGGATTCTACACCTTTGCGACTCTGCACTGACACACACATAAAAATGTTTTTTGCTTACCTAAGATCTTTATCACCACATTCGCATTGCTTTGTAGCTGAAAGAGGTAGTGCTAAAGCTGCATACTAATCTAACAAACTCAAGAGGGAATCTGGGTCGTAAGGCGCGGATCGTTATTGCCGACTGGCATTTGAACGCACTCAGCGAGTATTGAACCCCAGGTATCTTGTGGAGCAAACATAGCAGATCGCCAGATAATTCAAATTGTTTTTCGTGATGGCAGTTGGAAACTCCGCGCCGTACGAACGTCCCCTCTAAAAAGGAAATGGCAAAAATTGCGTGTTTCAGAATCCCAATTGCGATAGACAAGGCAGCGGCGCCACTTGTGAAGGACGGTGTGCTAGTCAGCTTTTTGAGATAGAGAGCAGAAGACTGTTAAGAACGTCTCGCCTTTGTCCAAAATACGGAGCGGAAGCAAAGTCGATAATTCGCAAAGTCAGAGAATTTTTCGAGGAACTCAAAGTAGCAATGGCAGGGACGTGCGCACGCGTCATATTCCAACATCCTCGAAAATTGGCGGCTTCAGCATGTGGTGTGTCTGAAGACGTAGTAAAACGCATTCCAGAAGATGTACATCAAGCCGCAAAAAGGTCTGGAGCAAGCAGGAGACCACCACTATCTAAAAAACAAAGACGCCAAAGAACGCTCAACAAATATGGAGAGGAATGGGGCGAGAAGGTAAAGCAAGCTATACACGGAAGACTTAGGAACGAAGAAGACGTTACTATAACTGAGCTTCACTCCCTCCTCCAAGCAGAATATAACAACTTCTGCATGTCGCGCACCACCCTATATGAGCTTGTCAGAGCTTTAGGGTTCTCCTACAGAATGAATGATGATCAAAAAGTCATTTATCAAAGAGCTGATTTGATCCAAAAGCGCTCGAAATATCTGCAACTGATCGAAGAGGCTAGGGAGCACGGAGACTGCCTAATATACACCGACGAAACTTGGATTTTCTCCGGCATGGTCAAACCAAGAGGATGGAATGACAACAACATTCCGAGATTCGCACCGAAAGAGATGCTGGAAAAATATTCATGTGGTAGGAGCGTTGGAAAAAATAAGGGTGTCAGGGCAATAGTGATCGGGGCGATGGCGGAGGACGGAGTGATACCAGGATGCACAAGAATGGTCATCTGTGGTAAAAGGGATGAGCGTGATGATTATCACGAAGACATGAATCATGAGCTCTTTGAAGAGTGGCTAGAGCACTCCATCCCCCACATGAAGAACTGGGCAGGAGAAAAACGAGTTACACTAATCATGGATAATGCATCCTATCACAGCAGACAGATTGCAAAAATACCCAGCACCAGTTCGACCAAAGCAGAAATAGCTGGATACTTGTCCTCGAAGGGTGTCACAGTGAGAAATAATGTTACAAAAGCCGTCCTTCTGGATCAGGTGACATTTTCCTATCTTTATGCTAACCGTTATTTTGAGAAGTTTAGCTTCACGACTACATAGAGGCCAGAGGGGGTCGAGACGCACTTCGAGAGTATGCTGTGGATCGCAGGTGTGCCGAATTAGGAGTCAACTTGATACGTCTGCCACCGTTCCACTGCACCTTCAACCCCATCGAAAAATGTTGGAGCCAGCTGAAGGCTCATTTAACTAAGTATGGTAAAGTTACGGATAAAATCGACACGGTAAGTGGTAAAGGCAGTGCAATTCAAGCAAAAAATCAAGCATTAGGTAAGAGCAAGGGCAGTGGAATGGATGCGTAGCGTACCTCCGTCGTTCACATCAGCTTGGTTCCGGTTTGCACGAAAAGAAGAAGCTGCAGCACGTTCCAAGGAAGAAATTGACCGCGCAGAGGAGAGTTCGTCGGATGATACTTACGAATCCTCTGAAGAAGTCGAAGAGGAAGAAGACCAAGAGGATGAACTGGAGTGATAGTTTGTGGTACAAAGTAGCAGTTGTTATAGACCAAAGTTGCAGTACAAAGTAGTATTTCCTACATTGTAACATCAAATGAAACGTGTATGTTCGTATATGTGATGTATTCAGCAAAAAAAAACTCCCAGATGAAGCAGGCAAAAGAGTAATTTTGATGTCTCGCTCTACCCCTCTGCACTAAGGTGATGAGTCATGAACAACAGTAATTAGATATCGAAAAGAAATGTTAGTCTAATGAGCACCTGCTCCTCGGACATTCATTGTATCAGGTCCTACTGCTACTATTGAGGGTAATAGTCCGCTGCTTAAGAAAATTGCCTCAAAATGGATATAGTGCAACATAGTTTCTGACACCCACGCCTAGTGAGTACCTATGATAGTCCCTCAGTCTTTATTATTTGTTAAATAAGCAGTAGGACCTGATACAATAAACATTATGATTGCTTATCAATGTTCCTCGCTGAGCAGTGCACTGGTCATCAATAAACGTGATGAACAACGATTAGTGATGAACAATGAGCACTGCCTGGTCTTTTGCAATGAACATTGATAAACAATAAACACAAATCCCTAGGCAAGTATGAGAAGTCCAGCAGAAAGTAACAACAACAACAAAAAAAAAGGTATGATCTAATAACGAGCCAAAAAAACTGAACAAAAAACAACAAAATCAAAAATTCCGTTTCGTTCCTTTCCTTAGACGGAAAAAATGGCAAAAAACTAATCAAAAATAGAAAGGAGCCCTCCCCGGAACTCATCAGTAAGGAAGGAGGGCTCAACACATCAAAACCAAACAAAAAACTCACAGGAAGTTCATTTTCGTGGATGTGGATTCCACTGTTGCGTAAGAGCGATGCTGTCATCCAATTTGCACTTTCGAGCAAACCACATGCAAAACAAATGATACTCAGGCAACAAAATCTATGATTTCTACGCAGCGAAATGGTTGACAGCGGAGCGAATTGCGTAATCGAAGCAAGATTGCCGATCGCAGGCAAGAAGATGAGATTGGAAATTATAGGACAAGTATGGCTCGCAACAACAAAAAAAGGTATGATCTAATAACGAGCCAAAAAAACTAAACAAAAAAACAACAAAATCAAAAATTCCGTTTCGTTCCTTTCCTTAGACGGAAAAAATGGCGAAGAACTAATCAAAAATGGAAAGGAGCCCTCCCCGGAACTCATCAGT